TCAGGAAAAAGACAACGCAAAGCAAGGCAGATCGAAGACGGATCGTTTGGAGGGTGCAGCAAATTAAATTGGTAGCGGGTCGGACCAGGAGGTTGATGACGGCACCAGCGAGGATGACGGGGAAGGAGCCGAGGTAGGAGTCGGCGAGGACGGCGCCGGCGACGGGCACGAGGTTGAGGGAGCCGCGGGCGACGTTGGCGATCTGCGCGGCGTCGATGCTCTCCACGTTGTACTCCTTGAGCAGGTACACCAGCAGGTTGTTGGTCGTCCCGTTGACTGCTAGCCCCAGCCCCAGCATGCTCCCTGCTCACACAGAGACGGAGCGAGTGATACATACATACGTCTAGTCGTCTACACAGATTGTGTGTGTGTGTGTGTGTGTGTGTGTGTGTGTGTGTGAGAGAGAGAGAGAGAGAGGTCTGCACGTATGTACCGTACCAGCTATGAAGGGGAGAGTGATCCATCCTCCTCGCTCTCTGCCTGGTTTCTCTTGGGCTTCTTCTTGGTCGACGACAGGCTTGAGTTTAGAGTTAGTGGAGCTATCCATCTCCAGCTGCTCTTGATCCTAGCTACTTAATTAGTTTGGACTTTGGAGTCTAAAATGGGGCTCGAGATAAACCACACTGACCTCCCATGGAGCTACTGGTATATATACACTTGGAGATGAGTATTAGCTTCTGGGGCAAAAGAAAAAAACTACACGACGCCTGAGAGATTCGAACTCTCGCGGGGAAACCCCATGTACTTAGCAGGCACACGCCTTAACCACTCGGCCAAAGCGTCACATGTGAACAATAATTTTCCCATTCTAAATATATTTATGTCCTTTCGGAAAACAAAGATGTGCGTCGAATAAGTGACGCTGGCTCCTTTTGACACATTATATGTCTGCTACTGTGGAACTTTATGAATGATTATCACGAAGTGCGATGTTCTGTTCCGCACGATGGATGGCAGAGGGCGCTCCATCCGATGCCGATCAATGGATGGAAATGGCATGCACGAATATATGCTAGCTGCACGTACAAAGGGACGCACCCTTGCTCTCTATGCAGTAGCAAAAGCCAAAGCCAAAAGAGTGATCGTTACTATACTTAGTAGTCGCATCTTGCTGATATAACAACTGGATTTTTATTCGCCGCTTGCACGCACGCATGCAACAAAAAATATATGGAAAAAGAAATAATATAATTGATGGGGTTGCTCTGTGGTGAGGCCGAATGTGAGCATGTTGACATAAACATAGATAGTAAGGATCAACTATTGGTTTATGTTGGAAAACAATTCCACATTTTGTAGAATCAAGTATGCACCACAGATCAATATAGAATCTACTACATGGTAAAAACCAATCAGATAGGCGAAGATGAGCTTAGTTGGCTTGCTAGTTTCTCTCCAATATATGTTTTGCAAGTTGTAGTGAAAAATATGGTAAATGGGTTTTTAAGTTTAATTTTGTGCAGAACCTTTTATATCAGAAATAAGATCATGTATACACGAGATGAAACCAAGTGATCAGATGAGTTTATCACATAAACAAATCCAATGATGCAAAACTGTGAATTTGCCACATTTCCATGTTCATAAGTAATCAATGCTATTTTAATGCCATGGACATGTTGTCAATTTATTAGGAACATAACTTGCATTGCATTTGCAAATTGTACAATTTATACTCCACAACGTTCTATAAATATGCTTACATAATAATATACTAGAAACCACTATAAAGATATTGGTTAGACATTACACTTTATATATGTTTGCCATGATATTAAAATATACACAACACATACATTAATGTTATGTAGGTAATTATACAAATTATACAAGTAAATATGAAAACTATACTCACTAATATTGTAGTATGACAAAAAAAGATTAAATAAGTACAAAAGTTTCGTATAAAATATTTGTTTTAATTCACCATTAGTCCTCCCTTTTCTATATGTGTGCCTTGCAGCTCCCTCCATCCTCAATCTGCAGCATCGTCGACGTTCATGTCTTTAGGACTGCGTGTAATATGAGTTGAGTTGAGTGGTGTATTTAATTGTTTGGATGATTTTTATATATATAACAAGCCCGCACTCACTGCTCATTTAGTAATTCATTATAATAAATTAGTTCAGTAATTCGTCTCGATGACATATGTATGTGTCGCAAAAACAAAATGCATTAGAGATTGTGTAACTAGATAGTATGAACTTGAGTTCCATTGTCCTCAGACATGAAGATACTTCATACCTTTGTTAATCAAAAAAGTGATTATATGAACTTGAGTGCTATTTTTGCTCGGTACTAGATAGTATTAACTCGAGTTCCATTGTCCTCAGACATTAAGACGCTTCGTACCTCCGTTTTCTTTTCTCGATGTAACCCACGCATGTACTGCATATTTAACACGAAGTCATCGCCTCTAACGAGGTAAGACATTCCGCCTATTTCTACACACCTTTCTATCTACAACGTAATACTGAGTTACATGCCAATTATGGTGTGGCGCTTCTATGGAATTGGGCTTAACGCAAGAATTTGGCACTGTTTGTTGTCAAGTATGTCTAGACCAGGCTAACAATGCCAAGTCAGGTGAATAATGTGCGGTATATTGGTATTATTGTCCATTAGAGTTCCAATGTTATTCACCAGATAAATATGAGCTTAAACATCAGGAGTATTGGTTGAAACAGGTAAGTCTGTTTTTTCTGTGAGTCTATATTATCATATTGAAGCTATTGCCCTAACCTTATTTTGTTTGGATTGGTGTCAGAATTATCTGATTCTTCCCGATTCACGGATTTGATCCTGATTTTCTAATGAATTTTTTATATTTGAAATAAGACAGCTTATTATTTAGTTACGAGCACTTTATTTGTAGAATAAGGAGAAAAAATGGTGTTTATAATTGGTCGCCGGTGATTTTTAATAGCAGCAGCAAGACATAGGCCATACGTGTACATGTGTCCTTATTGTATGGGAATGAGGAGAAAAACGAGTGCTCATGGATGATTGTTAGTGATTTGAATGAATAGTACAAACAAAATACGGGTCATGCTTGTACGTGTTACCATTGTACATGTAATGCAAATGCAATGTCCTAATAGTTTGAACAACAATAGAGTTGATGGGTTATAATTCTTGAAAATTTAAATCATCTCTACTCCTGCATCTAAGTTTTCAAGTGCAATTTATTTTATTTCTAGCCAAATTCCCTTTATTATTGTGTTGAACTTTTTAGGGAAGGTGACCAAGGAGCTCGTGGCACCTGTGTCGTGCCTGCTCTGGCGCTCCCTCGACTCGCTGCCAACGTCGCAGGTGGTGCCACAGCCGTGCAAGATTATTGTGGGGTCCAGTGCACGGGCGCCAGGGCAAAGGTGCTAGAGCTTGGTGTTTACGTGCGATGTTTTTTTTCTCCCGTCGCAACGCACATGCATATTTTGCCAGTAAGAATAATGGAAGAAGACCACATCAGGCAGTGCACTATTCACTAGTAGAAAACATGGCTTTGTTTCAAGCCTGCCAAACCCATTAGTCCCGGTTCAGTCACGAACCAGGACCCATGGGGGGCATACATCCCGGTTCGTGCGCCCAGGGGCCCGACCGGGCCTCGGGAGGCATTTGTCCCGGTTTATGTGGACCCATTTATCCCGGTTCTAGGCACGAACCGGGACCAATGAGCCTCGCTCCTGGCCCACAGCCAATGGTCCCGGTTCGTGCCTAGAACCGGTACAAAAGGGGGGCCTTTAGTCTTGGTTCCTGCCACAAACCGAGACAAATGAGTTGCCTATATATACCCCCTCGCCGGCGAGCAGAGCAGTCCACACTGCTCTGTTTTTTTGACCGGCGAGGGGAGGGCATTTGGGTGCTCTAGCTCACCTCCTATGCACATGAGGTGTTCGATGAAATGCCCGAGCCACGCTAGTTAAGTTTTGTCCTCTCAAAGCTCGACCTCCGAGCTCCATTTTTCCCGAGATTTGTCTAGGTTTAGCGGTCCGTCACGCCCCGTCCCTGTCTTCACTGCCGTCGATCGCTTGCGCCGATCTCGTCGCAGGCACCACCATGGTGAGCCTCTTGTTCTCTTCTTTCTGAAAGAAAAAAATTCGTACGTTAGATAGATACTTATCTGATATTTGATGTCTACTACACAACCTTCTTCTTGTAGACGTTGTTGGGCCTCCAAGTGCAGAGGTTTGTAGGACAGTAGCAAATTTCCCTCAAGTGGATAACCTAAGGTTTATCAATCCGTAGGAGGCGTAGGATGAAGATAGTCTCTCTCAAGCAACCCTGCAACCAAATAACAAAGAGTCTCTTGTGTCCCCAACACACCCAATACAATGGTAAATTGTACAGGTGCACTAGTTCGGCGAAGAGATGGTGATACAAGTGGTATATGGATGGTAGATAAAGGTTTTTGAAATCTGAAAATATAAAAACAGCAAGGTAACTAATGATAAAAGTGAGCACAAACGGTATTGCAATGCGTTGAAACAAGGCCTAGGGTTCATACTTTCACTAGTGCAAGTTCTCTCAACAATAATAACATAATTGGATCATATAACTATCCCTCAACATGCAACAAAGAGTCACTCCAAAGTCACTAATAGCGGAGAACAAACAAAGAGATTTTGGTAGGGTACGAAACCATCTCAAAGTTATCCTTTTGGATCGATCTATTCAAGAGTCCGTAGTGAAATAACATGAAGCTATTCTTTCCGTTCAATCTATCATAGAGTTCATACTAGAATAACACCTTAAGACACAAATCAACCAAAACCCTAATGTCACCTAGATACTCCAATGTCACCTCAAGTATCCGTGGGTATGATTATACGATATGCATCACACAATCTCAGATTCATCTATTCAAACAACACAAAGTACTTCAAAGAGTGACCCAAAGATACTACCGGAGATTCAAGACGAAAACATGTGCCAACCCCTATGCATAGGTTCATGTGCGGAACCCGCAAGTTGACCACCAAAACATACATCAAGTGGATCACATGATATCCCATTGTCACCACAGATAAGCACGTGCAAGACATACATCAAGTGTTCTCAAATCATTAAAGACTCAATCCGATAAGATAACTTCAAAGGAAAACTCAATCCATTACAAGAGAGTAGAGGGGGAGAAACATCATAAGATCCAACTATAATAGCAAAGCTCGCGATACATCAAGATCGTACCACCTCAAGAACACGAGAGAGAGAGAGAGAGGGATCAAACACATAGCTACTGGTACATACCCTCAGCCCGGAGGGTGGACTACTCCCTCCTCACCATGGAGAGCACCGGGATGATGAAGATGGCCACCGGAGATGGATTCCCCCTCCGACAGGGTGCCGGAACGGGTCTAGATTGGTTTTCGGTGGCTACGGAGGCTTCTGGCGGCGGAACTCCCGATCTATTGTGTTCTCTGAAGTTTTTAGGGTATATGGTATATATAGGAGGAAGAAGTACGTCGGTGGACCTCCGGGCTGTCCACGATACTCTGTGGGCTTCTTCTGGTCCAAAAATAAGTTCCGTGAAGTTTCAGGTCAATTGGA